TGCCCCCCCAGGGACGGGAGTGGGTGCTGCGGCCTCTGAATCAGAGGCAGCAGCATTGGGGAGCCTGTTTTTAAACTGGCTCCCCTCACGGACTGGCTCTGCCTGCCTCCCTGCACAGCTGCCTCTGTTCCAGAAGCAGCAGCACAGGGTGGCAGGGGCCTCCCCAGAAATGGGGCCGGGAGCGGTGGGTGGGGGGAGCACACTGGCTGCTGGCCCTGCCCGAGGAGTATTTCTTTAACTGCTAAAAATTGTTGTGGCTGCACAATTACTAAAACACACAAAATCTAAAATCCCTCCTCTGAGAACCCTCTTCTTTCTCCTGCTCAGCTGACTCATGTATTGAGGAACCCTGGGGAGAGGTGTCCAGTGCACAGGATGGCTTGGAGAGGTGCCCTGGACCCTGTGTTTTAGGGGACTCCATGGGGCCCAGGGCGCCTGGGGAATCACTAGAGCCGTGGTCACCAACCAGTAGATCGCGATCTACCCGTAGATCTCAGGGGCTCTTGAGCCCTCTCTGAACTGCGCACCTGCGCAGTACATTTACATTAGATTCCCTCATGTAATGTAGGCGGGGCTTCAAGGAAGGGGCGGGGCAGTAGATCTTCGCCTGTTCTGAGACTTAAAAAGTGATCTTGGGTTTAAAAAGGTTGGAGACCGCTGCTCTAGAGGGAGGCTGGAGCCAGCAGCAGGGACTGGGCACATCTTTTCCTGATGTGGTTTTCTTAAGAGGTTAACACACTGGGGCTCTGTTTGGCTGATGACCATATTTATTCTTAATCCAAAGCACATTCAAATACTGCAGATGCTTGAAAGCCCCAGTCCTGGCTTTTCCCCCCTTTCGCTGACCAATCCAGCGTATGAGAGAAAGGCCAACGTACATGAAGAATACCGGATAAAGGCAGATGACCTAGCACATCCTGTGGCTTTCGTAAGCAATTAGGAAAAGGAGCCAAAAGGTGGGATTGGGCCTGCGCCCATATTCCCCGGCAGCAGTGGGAGCAGGAGAAAGCAGAGCAACTCAGCCTCAGCCCGCTTGGCTTCACTCCCCGGAGTGGAGGCGGGAGATTGTTCCAGGCCCTGCGGCCATCGTTCCCTATAAGCTGAGCACCTGGGCACCCCCCAGGAGAAATTCATGTGCCGCCCCGCTAATTGGCAAAGCGCCCACAACCAGGAACATATGTACCTTCTGGTGGGGCACATGCCTCAGTGCAGATAGTAAAATTTATTCTGTGCATGGATGGAAAAACGTTAGAGGGGATTCTGTCCCACACCTCCCCACACCTCCCACACTCTGTCCCACACCTCCCTGGATGCTGGCCCTGCCCCTAAGGAGTATTTCTTTAACTGCTAAAAATTGTTGTGGCTGCACAATTACTAAAACACGCAAAATCTGCACAGTTACTAAAACACACAAAATCTCCCTAGGAACAAAACACAGGACTATGTAGCACTTTAAAGACGAACAAGATGGTTTATGAGATGATGAGCTTTCGTGGGCCAGACCCACTTCCTCAGATCAAATAGTGGAAGAAAATAGTGGAAGAAAATTTGATCTGAGGAAGTGGGTCTGGCCCATGAAAGCTCATCATCTCATAAACCATCTTGTTCGTCTTTAAAGTGCTACATAGTCCTGTATTTTGTTTCAGCTACACCAGACTAACATGGCTACATTTCTATCCCTACGAACAGCCTTCTGATCCCAGGAGCTGCCAAGATGGGATATAAAGTCTGAGGGGGTAGATATTGGGTCAGAACTGCCTAGTTTTACAATCGAAAAGAAAAGAAAAAAAAAAGAAAAATAATGGAGATTGCCTATCTCCTACAACTGGAAAGGACCTTGAAAGGTTATCAAGTCCAGACCCCTGCCTTCTCAGCAGATCCAAGTACCATCCATGATGAATTTTTGCCCCAAATGGTTTCCACAAGGATTGAACTCACAACCCTGGGTTTAGCAGGCCAATGCACAAATCACTGAGCTATCCCTCCTCCACCAAGCTAAAAATCTGTGGGGAAACCTGGATGGCCCTCCCGTGACCAGAACAACATCTGGAGTGCTAGGCCTTGTCCCGGCTTTGTCCAAAGTATGGCTCTCTAACACACCACCCCAGGTCTGACTCAAGCCTGGGCACACATGTATGTATGCAGGCCAGGCCAGAAAGGGTGGGGCAAAGTCAGGAGTGCTACCCAATTATTCAGAACTTGTGCAGGACAGCGAGACTAGGGCAAAAAGACCAGAAACAACCTGGTACGAGTAAATCCCATATTTTGATAAGAGCAAAATTCAAGAGACAGCCAGCCAAACTATTAATTAAGCACTTTTGCAATATTTTGGCATCACAAAATGTATTCTAGATTTTGACATAATAGGTATTTTAGTTGATTTAGTTTATGTCGGTGATTGGTAGGTAGTACTAGAACGACCAAGTCTTGCTTTGCTATAAATTGGGTTTAGTAAGAACAATCAGTGCAAGGGAATAAACAGGTTTGACCCACAGGTCCTGTTTTCGATGTAACAAGAAGGAACAGATCCTTTGCAGGAGGAATAATGGTAGTTCCAATTAGGAGCTTTAATTCGAACTACCTAGTCCGTGCCATGTGTAGCCGCGGGCAGATAGTTCGAACTACGGGGCATTTAAAAATGGCGGCGCCCAGGAACATGCAAATGAAGCCCGGGATATTTAAATCCCAGGCTTCATTTGCAAGTTCGAATACCTACGTTAGCCACCCTAGTTCAAACTAGGGTGGCAGTGTAGACATACCCTGAGAGATATGGGTGAAGGGCCTCACCGAACCAAGAACACTGAAAGGGAGGATCCAACAACCGACTAGCAGGCATATCCAACAAGGGCAGATGGGTGACTGTTGTGGTTGGAAAACCCTTGTATGTGGAGAAGTTAGTGAATCTTCTCAATTCTCATGTCTGCAAACTAGAAAACAGACTTTGGCCTGCTCTTAGAAGGGGATATTCCCAGTGTCTAGCTTGTTAGAGAGACAGGCTGTGCCTAATGTGTGTGTGTGTGTGTGTGTATAGGAGAGATGGGGGAACTCATCACATAGTAACCAGAACCTGTCTGTGGGAAACTCCTCACAGGTAGGTGCTGTTTTGGTTTCTGCTTTAGCACAGAGTTAGCTGCTGCTTTTAGGACTCTGTGCACAGGCTATATATTGCTTAATGTTGCCAATGCCCTTTGGACTTCCCAAAGGATCTGGAACTGTACAGAGATGCCTCTCAGACATGGCCCATGAGCCGAAGTCGCCAGCAAGCCAAAGGGATGTTGTAAGCCTTCTCTTGCCTTTTCTTTCTGTAATATCTAATAAAACTTGCACCTATTCACATTCAGCGATTTGTGTCTTCTTGGTTACCCTCCGAACCTGAGAGCAGAGTCTGGCCGGCCCAGCCTCTGAAGTAAAACGGTGACCCAAGACAGGGAGGGAAAAGGGGAAACATGTATCAGTTGAATCCAGCTGAGCATGGCCAACCAAAGAAGATAAGGAGCAAGAGAAACGACCAGAGATAACAAACATTCGCCAGAAAAACCACAGGATGACGCAAAACTTACTGATCCCAAGGAAGAAAAAACTACCGTGTATTAGCGTATATAACCCGCACTTGTGTATAACCTGCACTTGTGTATAACCTGCACTTGTGTATAACCCATGGTTTTTCTTTGCTGTGTAAAAAAACCTGCAGATTACCTGCGGACGTGTATAACCCACGGGTTCTATAGGCTAATTCACGGTAATTGCACATACCGGGATAAACTGCCAATGTCCTACATTCCACCCATCTTTTGTTAGGTAGCCATCCTGCTTCCAGTGGGGGGAACGGAGAGAGCAAGGCAAGCAAGCTGGCCAGCCTCAGGAGGGGAGCCACACTCGCAACCAGGCACTGCGCAGCCATAGCCAGGTGCAACCCACCCTCCTCCGGGCGGGGGAACGGAGTGCACAGCACAGGCGCACTGGAAGCTCGTCAGACCCTCCCTGCAGCGGAACGGAGCTGACCCAATTCTAATGAGTAAAGCTAAACTTGTATACCCCGCATGGGAGGGGGCGGGGTTTGTAAAAACGTGTATAACCCATGGGTTATATACACTAATTTACGGTACTTTAAAAAGGGGCTGCTTTGATATGCAACTTTGGGGACATCCTGCCATGTCTTGAACATTGGTCCAGACTGATTGATCACAGATGGAGGAGGGGGCCTACCTGGCTGGCCACAGGACAAGGACTGGTAAATATAACATCGATTGGTGGGACAGTGTGTCTGTCTGTTTATGTAAGGAACAGATCCCTCGCAGGAGGAATAATGGTAGTTTGAGCATTGGCCTGCTAAACCCAGGGTTGTGAGTTCAATCCTTGTGGAGGCCATTTGGGGCAAAAATTTGTCAGGGATGGTACTTGGTCCTGCTGAGAAGGCAGGGGACTGGACTTGATGACTTTTCAAGGTCCCTTCCAGTTCTAGGAGATAGGCAATCTCCATCATTTTATTTTAAGTATATGCTAACTGCTCTGCTGTTGTATTCTCAATAAACGCGGTGTGTTGCCTTTTCCTCCTTCATAAAGACCCCGTGTGCTTCTTACAAGCATAACACTAGCTGTCACCCTGCGCTGCAGGCGCATGTAACCGTGCAACTGCTGAAAGTTTTCCGTGCTTACACCGTTTCTCACTTTTCCTAATCCTGGGGTGTGCAAACTGGCGAGAACTGGCGCTCCATCGGCTCCACCAGGAGCAACCATTCTAGGCTGGTCCAGCCATTGAGGAGCTGGGAAACACACAAACTGGCAGGCGCTGGAGCTGAGCTTGGTGGACGGCTGCCAAAGCCACTTGCAACCTCAGGGAAGGAGCCGGTGCAAGCTCCACCCACTGCTGAGCTCCAGGAAGTGGAGACCCAGCTCGATTCTGTGCATCTGCTTGAGTGTGCAATGGCTGCGGAGAATCCAGCCAGGACGCTGCAGGAGGAAGCGACGTGTTCCATCTGCCTGGATTATTTTCACGAGCCGGTGATGATTATCGACTGCGGGCACAACTTCTGCCGGGCCTGCATCACCCAGTGCCAGGAGGGATGGCAGACAAACCTTTCCTGCCCCTGCTGCAGGGGCAGTTTTCCCCAGAGGAACCTCAAGCCCAACAGGCAGCTGGCCAGCCTGGCAGAGGTGGCCAAGCAGCTCAACCTGCAGCTGATCAAAGACTCTGGAGGGGAGAGGGTGTGCGAGAAACACCAAGAGGCCCTGAAACTCTTCTGCCAGGACGATCAGACCCCCATCTGCGTGGTGTGCAACTGCTCCAAGGAGCACAGGGCTCACAGCGTCGTGCCCAGCGAGGAAGCTGCCCAGGAATACAAGGTAGAGTGTGGAGGAGAGGAAGGGACCACCAGAAGGCATCTAGTACAGTCCTCTGCATTCCTGGATGGATCAAGTAGAGTTGCCAGATACTTAAAAAAAAATACCGAACATGGTGGGGAAAAACTTGGTTAAGCAAAAAAAAAAAAAAAAAAGTTGCCAGATACTTAAAAAAAAATACCGAACATGGTGGGGAAAAACTTGGTTAAGCAAAAAACTATAAATCCCTCACTCCCCTCTCCCATCCCACCCTCCGCCAGACACACCAGAGGGGGAATATCCCAAGCAGCCTTCTGTCTGAAAAAAAAACAGAAAATATTGGACAGTTTACATGTCCATTATTTTCTGGTATTTTTACTGGACAGAGGCTGCAAATACCAGACTGTCCAGGCCAATTCCGGACCCCTGGTTACCATAGGATCAAGCACCATCCAGGGCTAGGGTGCAGAAACTTTTTTGGAGCGAGTCGCTGACTCACAGAAAATTCAGATGGGGGGACACACACAAGGGAGAAGCACCCCCTCAGAAAAAACCCTCACTGACCTGGCCCCCAACTTGGGGCAACTTGGCAGGGGGAAGACTGAAGCTCAGCGTTCCCTGTCATGATGATGAGGGTTAGCCAGCAGCCTGGGGATTAAGGGGTTAACTACACCTAGCCAGGTGGCGTGACCAGTAGGAATGTAGGTGGGACTTTCAAACAGGGACAAAGGAATTTGGGTTTTTTTCCCTTTCTCCTTTTGTCTCTCTGGGGTGAGTTCTCTGCAGCTACAGAGAGGGACAAGCATGTCTCTCTCTCTCCAAGACACCATTCTTCATTTTCTGTAGGTAGGGTAAAGTTCAGGTAGTTTTGTTAGGTTTTATTGTGTTAAGGATTGGGTATGGGATCTGAGATCTGGCACTCCTTAAAAGATGTTTTGGCTTTTCTTTGTAACTAAGTTCTAGGCCCATGGAGTTTCTCCATGAGTATATTTTGTTACCTCCCTGTCTAGTCATTATGGTTGCAACAGGAATATTGTTGTAATAATAAAAGTTCTTTCTTTTCTTTTTATTAACCTGGCAGTGGTTAATTGTGTGCCTTGATTTTTATCTTAGGGGTGAGATTTCCCAAATGATCTTCCCCCTGATTTCTTTATCAATATTTGGGTGGTGGCAGCGGAAGTTTTATTCCCAAGAGCTAGGTTTTTAAGGTTTTGGGGGGAGTTTTATACCAAAGCCTGGTAGATAAGGCTTGGGGGTACACTTGCTGGCCCCCACTTCTGCATTTATCATGCCAGAGAGGGGAAGGAGCCATGACATTCCCCGCCTCCCAAAGCTGGATTAGCTCTTCTGGGGACCCAGGACTTAGTTGATTTTGTGGGGCTCCATGGTGAGGCCAAATATCAGGGGTTCACTGTGTGTGGGGGATGCCAGGAAGTGGACCCAGGGCAGGAGGACTGTATTCTTCTGGGGGTCGTGGGTATGTTTCCAAAGGGAATCTAAAAAATGGTTGATTTCTTTATTTTCTATGTAGAGGGCAAGCAGTTGAGGACAGAGACAGTCTACTTGTACAGTGAGCTCTTGACCTTGGGCTGGACCTCCTGGTTGCTTCCACATTATAACTAATAATATCCTAGACAATTCAGCCTTCCCTGAAAACTATGCACATGTGCGGCCACTCAGGAGAGATCCCAGGGGCACCCAGCTGATGAGCAGAGCGCCCCCTGCTAGGTTTGTATGTCTATGGGTGGTGCACATTTGCACCTGCCTTCGTGCACAGAATAAAATTTATTCTGCACATGGATGGAAAAAATTAAAGGGACAAATGCTACACATTAGCATTGAACACAAGGATTAACAGTGCATATTAATAAGCCATCTATTTGTCCTTGATGATGGAAGAGCCTTAAAAAGTCATGTGGGCTCTCAAAACTTGCTTTTCCCCTTCCCTCTTTGTAGGTGGAAATTCAGAGCCAGGTGGAGATCTTGAAGAAAGAGAGAGCTGAGATTCAAGTGTTTCAATCAAGTGGGGAAATGGCAAGCCAGGAACTGCTGGTAAGAGCCACTATCGCTTACCCGCTCAAGGGCATCACCGGTACTCAGAGTAATATGTTCCCCTCTGAGTATGGAATTACTCAGCTGTCTTTTGTAAACTCTGTCCCGGTTCCCTGACTTTCTGTCTGTGATGGGCAGGGCCCTATCAAAGTCACGGTTATGCAAAATGCATCACAGGCCACGAAATCTGGGGTCCATGTTTGAAATTTGGTCGTTTGTGGGCTTTTTTCTGATACTGCCCAGATTTTATTGGGGTGGGGAGACCAGCCTTTCTCAGACTCGGGAATCTGTCCCAAAAAGTAGTTCCAGAGGGATCACAAGGTTATTTTAGGAGAGTCACAGTCTTGTCACCTGGAAAGCGTGGTGGTTGTTATGGTGGCCATGTGCCCAGCTCTAAAGGCAGCATGTGGCCACAATGCAGAAGTAAGGCTGGTGATACAGGCCAGTACGCAGGAATTTCTAGGTGTGTGTGTGTACAAAAGGGTCTATGAAATATCTTGTAACTTTCTGAGCGTCCCTGGTCTGACCTTTCCCCTGCCTATGTCTGACCGCTGCAGCAAGAAGTGGAAGCCGAGAAGCAGAAGGTTGTGTCTGAATTTAAGCAGTTGCACCTGTTTCTGGAGAAACAAGAGGAACATCGACTGGGCCAGCTGAGGGAGCTGGACCAGGAGATTAAGAAGAGGAGGGATGAAAATGCCACCAAATTCTCCACGGTGCTATCCTGCCTCGGTGACCTTGTCTGTGAGCTGGAGGGGAAATGCCAGCAGCCAGTGAGTGAATTCTTGCAGGTAAGAGGGTGTTAGAGGACCCCACTCCCTACTCCTTGCTCCAGATCCCTGGATGAGGCAGGAGGTACTCCCTGAATCATCCTTGGCCTAACTAGAGGAACCCAGCACTCAGAGACCATCTTCTAAATCAGCCTGCGAGCTGCTGATGTTGTTATTTAGGTGTTAGTTAGTGCTTTAAAAGCTGAGTCACAATGTCAAAGATCTGCGGTGTCATTCACCCCCGTTCCTCTAGGGTGGGGTGGGCAATTATTTTTGCAGGGGAGGGACCACATCCCAAATTTTGGTATGTGATTGCAGGCCGACTCCAGCACCCCCAGAAGGAGCAGGGCCTCTGGCAGAAGGCTACAGAGTGTGTGTGTATGTGTGTACGTGCGTGTGAATACACATGAATGTGTGCGTGTGTGCGTGCTTGTGTGCATGTGTGTGTGCGCGTGCACAGGGCCAGCCCGAGCCCTTTTGGTGCCTTGGGCCCGGGAGCGCAGCGCATACTTGGCGGGGGGGGGGGGGCGCTGCTGGCCGGCGCCGTGGGGCTAGCGCTGCGGGAGCTGGGCACGCGACGCCTGATGGCAGCCGTAAGGGACACCGCATGCCCCTTACAGCTGCCATCAGGCGCCCCCCATCAGTTGGCGCCCTGGGCAGCTGCCTGGCTTGCCCATGCCTCCCTCCGGCCCTGCGCGCACACATGTGCATGTTTGCATGTGTGCATGTGTGTGTGCATGCCTGTGCATGTGTGAACATGTGTGCACACACTTGTGTGCATGTGTATGTGTTTGTGTGGGTGCATGTGCATGTGTGTACGCGTGTGCATGTATACACATGTGTGCGTGTGTGTGTGAAAGAGAGACGCTCTGTGTGTGAGACAGACTTTGTCACACAAACCAGTGTGGGGCACAGATGGGAGAGTATGTGCTGCTGTGTATGTGTGTGACAGGGACACGAAGTGTATGTGTGTTGGGTAAGTTTCTGTGAGCAGCCGGGCTCTGTCTCTTTAAGGCAGGGTTGGGGGAACCTATTTTTGGATCTGCATGTGTATGTGTTTGTGTGCGTGCATGTGTATGTGTGTACACGTGTGCATGTATACACATGTGTGCGTGTGTGTGTGAAAGAGAGACGCTCTGCGTGTGAGACAGACTTTGTCACACAGACTGAGTGTGGGGCACTGGGGAGAGACCATCCAGTGAGACTGCGTTGGGTAAGTTTCTGTGAGCAGCCGGGCTCTGTCTCTTTAAGGCAGGGTTGGGGGAACCTATTTTTGGATCAGGGCCACAGACCCACAGAAAAATCAGTCAGGGAGGGCTGCACACAAGTGCAAAGGAAGTGGGGCAGTGAAGTTGGGCGGACCCCTGACTGAAGAGAAAAACACTCCCCACATTCCCCTCACACACCAACACTTGAGGGGCCCAAGCTAGTAGATTCTGTGGGCTCCAGCCCCATAGGGGGACAGCAGGGAGGCTGGAAGACCAGCGCAGGCTCCCCAGTGCTGGGGGAGGGGGGAGCCCCAAACCTCGGGGGCCAGATCCAGGCAAGCTGGAGGCCGCATCCAGCCCCTGGGCCTTAGGTTCCCCACCCCTGCTGTAAGGGAAATCTGTCTTGCTCTGTTGTCTCCCCCCACCTTCTCCTCCTTCCTCACTCCTCTGGGGTCACATGCTTCGGACTGGAGCAGCTCTGCTAACTCTGAGTCTCCCTCTATGATGCCTGCTCTGCAGAGATGGGGCACAGGGACAGGGGAACCCTCTCCTCCACCCCCAGGTCTGGATTAAGGGGGGGGCTAGCTGGGTAGCTGCCTGGGGTGCCAACCTATGGGGAGAGCTTGATTGAAGTGGTAAGGGGCGCTGTGTGCCTGGGGGCGGGGCCGCCGGGCACACAGCACTCCTTACCACTTCAATCAAGTGCCCCCCATAGGTTGGCGCCCGGGGGCAGGGCAGCGCATGAGCCATGTGCCTGGGGGTGCGGCGCCCCTTACTATGTCAATCAGGCACCGTGCGCCCGGGGACGAGGCTGCGTATGTGCCACGCGCCTGCTGCCCAGGGTGCAAGTGTGGCTCAGTCCGGCACTGTCCACCCCAACCCCCCAGCACAGCGAGCAGGAGAATCCTGGAAGCAGCTGGGCTGCAGGGTGAAGTAAGGTGCGGGGAGGGGCAGCTGAGCACATGCTGCTGGCTGTAAGTCTGCAGGAGCTCTGCAAATTAGCTGGGCACAGGGCTGGACTAAAAGGTGGGCTAGCCGGGCAGCTGCCCGGGGCGCCAACCTATGGGGGGCGCCCGGCTCCCGGATTGCGGGCTGCAGCAGCTCCAAGCAGCCACCCTGCAGTAGCTGCCCGGGGTGGGGGCCATGTTAACCCCCGCAGTGCCGGCCAGCAGTGCCCTTCCCCCCACAGCTGCGGGGCCCTGCACGGCCAGGCGCGGTCCGCTCCAGGTGGCCCTGGGCTGCGCGCCAATGGCGGTAGCTAAGCCGGGCAGTGTAGCACACGTACATCCTAGCACTGCCAGCTCTGCGCACCACCCCTTACAGCTGCCTTCAGGTGCCACGCACCCGATGGCAGCTGTAAGGTGTGCAGCGTGCCGAGGGGGCGGGGCCGCGCATGCGCCATGTGCCCGGAGGCGGGGCCACGTACCCAGGGCCCAGGGCATCAGAATGGCTCAGGCTGGCCCTGGCTGGGCAGGCTGGAGAGAAATGCTTGGCAGGCTGGATCCGGCCTCTGGGCCTGAGTTTCCTCACCCCTCTGTCTGAGGAAGGAAGTGCTCATCATGAATCATCCGTAGCGGCACCGTTTTCAAAATCAGACCGTGAGCTGCTGATGTTTGTGTTGTTACTTAGCGTTTCGAAAGCTGAGTCACAGATTCGCGGAAGCGGTGGGTGTCAAAGCCCTGCTGTGTCATTCACCCCAGCTCCTCTAGACCACTTGTTCCCAAACTTTTCAGCATCACGCCCCCTTTTTGATTTTTGAAAAACTCTCACGCCCCCCACCCCACCAAAAATAGCAGAAAAACTTGTTGAGAAAGAGAGAGAGAGAGAAAAAAAAAGGAACTGACTGGCCAACAAAACATGATGGAGGGGGGGGACTGGGTTGCCTTTCACCTCCCCCTGGAATTTCTTCACGCCCCCCAGTTTGGGAACACATGCTTTAGGGCAAGTGCAGAATTGCTCCCTTTCCCACATGTCCCGGAGGGGGCTGGCCAGAAATGGTTTAAAATATCTCTGACTCGCATATCTCATGGTTAGGAAGTTTTCCCTGACAATCAGCTTCAACTTTTTTTTCTCTTCCTCTATTTGGTGTTATTGCAAACTATGTAAATATCAGGTGGCTCTTTTTTCCAAGCCCCTTTCCATCCACTGGTTGGATCATTCAGTACTTGGTACTTCAAAAACCTCATCATCCAGTGAAAATTTTGTGCGTGCACGTGTGGGGCTTCATCTAGTGCAGGACTACTCAACTTTGGAAGGCCGGGGGGTCAAAGTGATACAGCACATGCTGAGGGCTGCAGTTTAAGTGTGGTTGCATAGACATGCAAATATACATGCAAATATATACAAACAGCTTCTTTCATACTGATGGACAAGAATACAAAGATTAAAGCAAGACTTGTCGTGTGGCTCGATTTATGTTAGATCCAAGGGAAACCAGTACACGCCAGGGCTACTTATCCACTTTCTTATTTAGTGCAAGCTTTAAGCAGTTAATACAGTTGTTTAAGTTTTACAAGCCTTAAGAACAATGATGCTACAATTTAAACCTTAAATACTATACATTCTAAAACAATTACTATAGCGCAAAGCAATGCAAAAACAGTTACTAAAAGATCTGCTATATACAATGATAAACCCAAATTCACTTTGGCTACGTCTACACTGGCATGAATTTCCGAAAATGCTTTTAACAGAAAAGTTTTCTGTTAAAAGCATTTTCGGAAAAGCACGTCTAGATTGGCAGGATACTTTTCCGCAAAAGCACTTTTTGTGGGAAAGCGTCCATGGCCAACCTAGACGCGGTTTTCCGCAAAAAAGCCCCGATCGCCATTTTCGCGATCGGGGCTTTTTTGAGGAAAACAATACTATGCTGTCTACACTGGCCCTTTTGCGCAAAAGTCTTTCGGAAAAAGACTTTTGCCTGAAAGGGAGCATCATAGTATTTAAGGAAAAGCACTGATGATTTTACATGAGATCGTCAGTGCTTTTCCGGAAATTCAAGGGGCCAGTGTAGACAGCTGGCAAGTTATTCCAGAAAAGCGGCTGATTTTCCGGAATAAGTGGCCAGTGTAGACACAGCCCTCGCTTTACTTCACAATAATGCCCCCTTAGCTTGAATTTATAAGCGAAGCGTCCACACTACCAAGCCCATTTTTTCGAAATAATAGGCCACTTAATTTGAAATCTGTCCTCTTGCTTTTCTCGAGGAATAACACTAATTTCGAACTAGTTATTTCAACACAGTGGAAGCATGGACATTCTGGTGCCGCTATTTCAAAATAGCGACTCCCCAGGGTAATTTGAATTCACGATACTCCCCAGTGCTTCCTGAGACTATAAGTCTGAGGTAGCACATCCACATTAATGCTGCCTGCCTCGGACTAATTTCAAGGCTTCCTCCCAACGGGGAGACGCTAGTTTGATTTTGTAAAATCGGGCGTGATTAAGTCAAATTTAGTTATTTCGAAAAAGTTTCCTCGTGTGGACATGGCCCTTAGAAGCCAATGGGAGTGCGGAGCTAGGGCTCAGATTGGGGCGGTGCACAGAACCTTGTGCGCTCTTCAGTCCTCATCTAAGAGCGAGGCCTGCTGCTAGTTGCTTGTGGGGCACAGCACAATCTACAGTGCCAGGCCAGGAAAGGAGCTGCCTTACCTGTCAATTGCCTAGATTATTTTGAAATTGGCAGCAATGGTGAGGGGGAGAAGAGGGGAGAATTTAAAAGCACCAGCACGCACGGAGCCGAAAGTCAGCTGCTCTGTGTAGAGCTGCCTCAGGGAGCCTGGGGTCAGCTGGGGAGTCCCCAGCTGATCCCTGACTGCACCTGGCATTTCAAAACAGCAGTATCCCATGGAGCCCAGGATCAGCTGACCATGGGTTCCTCGTGGCATTTCAAAGCGGCAGCGCCGCATGGAGCCCGGGATCAACTGGGGTGGCACTGCCACTCTGAAATGCTGGGAGGAGCCTGGGATCAGCTGGCGACTCCCCATGTGACCCTGGGCTCCATGCAGGGTGCCAGCTTTGAAATGTATAAGAGTCCCCAGCAGGGGCTCTTGTGCATTTCAAAGGAAGCGCCTGCATGGAAGCCCGGAGTCAGCGGGACTTTCCACTGGCCCTGGGCTGCACACGGCATTCCAAGTTTGAAATGTACAAGAGCCCCAGTTGTACATTTCCAGCCCCAGCTGGGGCTCTTGTACATTTCCAAGACAGAACGCGGAAGTGCTTATCGACTAGTCCAGTGTTTCTCAGCCAGTGGTACGAGTATCCTTAGGGGTACTCGAGAGAAGTCGGGGGGGAAGGAGGGGAGACGGGGATGGCAACACATCTGAAATTTGGAGAAAACTGAATTTTTGTTTTAAGTTTTACAGCATTTTATAATTGTTGTACTTTTTACACCCCAAGATGGCAACACAACTGAAATTTGGAGAAAACTGAATTTTTGTTTTAAGTTTTACAGCATTTTATAATTTTTGTACTTTTTACACCCCAAAATTTCATTGCCCGCCTGGCTATGATTAAGTTGTTTAAACAAAGGTGTTGCAATGGTGGACAAAAAAATTGTGTGTCTGAAAACTGTAGGTACGGGGGGTACTTACGATTTTTTTTTTAAAGGGGTACTTTATAAAAAAAGGTTGAGAAACACTGAACTAGTTGAGTAGTCAATAGAAATTCCATCAACTACTCAACTAGCAAATTATTCGCTACTTAACATCCTTAGTCTACACAGTACTTATTTCAAAATAGAGCGCTCTTCCTCCAGCTTCCCTTACTTCTCGTACTATGGCTGTGTCTAGACTGGCAAGTTTTTCCGCAAAATCATTTGATTTTGCGGAAAAACTTGCCAGCTGTCTACACTGGCCGCTTACATGAGATCATCAGTGTTCTTGCAGAAATACTATGCTGCTCCCGTTCGGGCAAGCCTTTTTCCGAAAGACTTTTGCGCAAAAGGGCCAGTGTAGACAGCACAGTACTGTTTTTCGCAAAAAAGCCCTGATCGCGAAAATGGTGATCGGGGCTTTTTTGCGGAAAAGCGCGTCTAGATTGGCCACGGATGCTTTTCCGCAAAAAGTGCTTTTGCGGAAAAGCATCCTGCCAATTTAGACGCGATTTTTCCGAAAATGCTTTTAACGGAAAACTTTTCCGTTAAAAGCATTTTCGGAAAATCATGCCAGCGTAGAAGTAGCCTATGAGGGTTGTAGGAGTCGGAGCAAGAAGTCCTCCTGCTTGACAGTATTTTGACATTATTTTGAAACACCTGCCGGCTGTGTATCTGCGGACTAAAGTTATTTCTAAATGTTGCCGTGTAGCCATACCCTAAGAAAAACTTCCTAACAGTCAAGAGATTAAGAACTGGAATAAATTGCCTAGGGAGGTTATGGAATCTCCAGCATTTGCGGTTCCCAAGAGCAGGTTAGACATGAACCTACCATGGGACATTTTGGGTACATCTACCCTTGCTCTGTAGTTCGAACTAGACATGCAGATGTAGCCGACCGAAATTGCTAATGAAGCGAGGATTTAACTATCCTGTGCTTCATTAGCATAATCTCGCCCGCTCGCTATTCCGTGCATTCGAACCAGGAAGTGCGCTCTGGGACGCGTTAGTTCGAATCAAACCCCTTGGTTCGAATTAACGTTGCTCTTCGAAAACTGAGGGCGAGATGATGCTAATGAAGTGTGGGATATTTAACCCCCTGCTTCACTAGCAATTTCGGTTGGCTACATTTGCATCCCTAGTTCGAACTAGGGAGCAAGTGTAGACGTATCCTTTGGTTATGTTGACCCAGCCCACCTCAGCTCCCAGCAGCCAACATTCAGCATTCCCAACCCATGGGAGCTGCGTGAAGGGGCAGTCACCACATCCCGGTCTTGTGATCTGCAGTCAGATTACCCAGATGGTCCAAATGGGGCTCATGGGCCATAGGTTGCCCAGCTCTGGTCCGGATTACACTCAGTCCTGCCATGAGAACAAAGGTCTGGACTAAATGACCTCTTGACATCCCTTCCAGTCCAGTGATTCTATTCTTTCTTTCTCTTTCTTTCCAGGACATCAGAAGCACCTTAAACAGGTATGTGGCCTCTTCTTGCTGCCAACTAACTCTTTCCAGCCCATGCTTCAACTGGTGTAGCCCTGCTAATTCTGCCTGTGCATTTTAAAGGGCTTTGAGAATTTGCTCTTAAATGGAGTGTGTGCATATTCCAGTCCTGCTGGGATTCTGCCCTGCTTTCTTTCTCTTTCTTTCCAGGACATCAGAAGCACCTTAAACAGGTATGTGGCCTCTTCTTGCTGCCAACTAACTCTTTCCAGCCCATGCTTCAACTGGTGTAGCCCTGCTAATTCTGCCTGTGCATTTTAAAGGGCTTTGAGAATTTGCTCTTAAATGGAGTGTGTGCATATTCCAGTCCTGCTGGGATTCTGCCCTGC